AAAAAAAAAAAAAAAAAAAAAAAAAAAAAAAAAAAAAAAAAAGTAACTTTCAGCATGTGTCTTAATCATTTGATATTGCAGAGACAAAGTCTAAAATCACTATAACTTCCATGATGAAAAGGAAAAATGTAATCTACGCCATCAGATACAATTCCCATAATATTCTGGTGACTGGGCCAAAACAAGACAGAAACATTGTGAATCCTTGCTGACTCTTTTCCTGTTTTTTTGTTGTTGTTGATTTGTTTTTCTTAAAAGCAAGAGTTAAGGTTTTTAGTTTGAAGTTCTTCTCAGTGAAGAAACCTGGCAAATACTAGGATTGGTAGGCTTTTGGTGCACAGCTTTTTTTGCACACACTCATTTATACACTGCAGGAACAATCTACACCTCAGTAACAGTAGTTTTCATTGGACAGTTTGATATTTTCCTCTGGCACTTGATAATTGAGTATTTTATTCCACTTCCCCCCTTCTTTGGGCTTCTGTGGTTTGAGTCAGCAATACCAAAGCAGAACCTAAAATTAAATGAAAGGTGCATATTAGAACTACAAAGCAGCCAGGCAGCTGGAAAACACATGAAGGAAACATTAACATCCAAAAACGTAGACATGATGGATTGCAAGTTTTTGTTTTTTTTTGAGTTGTAAAAATCTCAGTTCTTTCCACTGTGTTACACATGAATGATTTCTTTCTTATGGAACTGTCTGGAGCATACTAATAAGAACAGCTGAATGAAACTTAACTTTTTCAAGCAGATAAGTTAAAAGAATTCTTTTCCAGTCCTATTGTGTCATGTCTGAAGAGCTTCCCTAATCATCATGTTTGGGATTTTCTGAAAATAGTACTAAAAAAATAGGGCTGTCAATTAATTGCTGTTAACTCACGCGATTAACTCAAAAAAATTAATCGTGATTAATCTTGTTTAATAGAATACCATTAAAATTTATTAAGTTTTGGATGTTTTTCTACATTTTTGTATATATTATATTCTGTGTTGTAACTGAAATCAAAGTGTATATTTTTGATTACAAATATTTGCACTGTAAAAATGATAAAAGAAATAGTATTTCAGTTCAACTCATACAATGTGTAGTGCAATCTGTTGTGAAAGTGCAACTTACAAATGTAGAACTTGTTACATAACTGCTTTGTTTCATAACTACATAACTCAAAAACAAAACAATGTAAAACTTCAGAGCCTACAAATCCAGTCAGTCCTACTTGTTCAGCCAATCGCTAAGACAAAGAAGTTTGTTTACATTTACAGGAGATAATGCTGCCCTCTTCTTGTTTACCATGTTATCAGAAAGTGAGAACATGTATATTTGCATGGCACTTTTGTAGCTGGCATAGCTATTTACATGCCAAATATGCTAAACATTGATATGCCCCTTCATGCTTTGGCCACCATTCCAGGGGACATGCTTCCATGCTGATGACACTTATTAAAAAATAATGGGTTAATTAAATTTGTGATTGAACTCCTTGGGGGAGAATTGTATGTCCTCTGCTCTGTTTTACCTGCATTCTGCCATATATTTCATGTTTTAGCAGTCTCAGGTGATGACCCAGCACATGTTGTTCATTTCAAGAACACTTTCACTGCAGAATTCACAAAATGCAAAGATGATACCAATGTGAGATTTCTAAAAATAGCTACAGCACTCGACCCAAGGTTTAAGAATCTAAAGTGCCTTCCAAAATCTGAGAGGGACGACGTGTGGAGCATGCTTTCAGAAGTCTTAAAAGAGCAACACTCCGATGCGAAAGCTACAGAACCTGAACCATCAAAAATAAATAAATAAAATAAATAAATAAAATCGACCTTCTGCTGGTGGCATCTGAGATAATGAAAATGAACATGCGTCGGTCCGCTCTGCTTTGGATTGTTATCCAGCAGAACCCGTCATAAGCATGGACGCATGTCCCCTGGAATGGTGGTTGAAGCATGAAGGGACATATGAATCTTTAGCACAACTGGCATGTAGATATCTTGCAATGCTGGCTACAACAGTGCCATGAGAATGCCTGTTCTCACTTTCAGGTAACATTGTAAACAAGAAACGTGTTTGTCTGAGTGATTGGCTGAACAAGAAGTAGTACTGAGTGAACTTGTGGGCTGTAAAATTTTACATTGTTTTATTTTTGAATGCAGTTTATTTTGTACATAATTCTACATTTGTAAGTTCAACTTTCATGATAAAGAGATTGCACTACAGTACTTGTATTAAGTGAATAGAAAAATTCTTTTGTTTTTTTACAGTGCAAATACTTGTAATCAAAAATAAAGTGAGCACTGTACACTTTGTATTGTGTTGTAATTGAAATATATCTGAAAATGTAGAAAACATCAAAAAATATTTAAATAAATGGTATTCTATTGTTTAACAGTGAGATTAATTGCACGATTAATCATGATTAATTTTTTTAATCGTGCAATTAAGCAGGTTAAAGTTATACAAATATAGTTTCTCGGGCAAGGTCTAAATGAAATAGTTCTGGGTTTTGGACCACGCAAAGAGGCATTACATTCAACTCAATGGCATCTGTTTGTCTGTAATGAGATAGATTTTGAATGCCACATCTGATCAGTCCAATATTTCAGAGCATATTCAAGCAGGGCCGGCTCTAGGCACCAGCAAAACAAGCTGGTGCTTGGGGCGGCACATTTTTAGGGG